GTGTGTGTGTGTGTGTGTGTGTGTGTGTGTGTGTGTGTGTGTGTGTGGAGAGAGAGACATTTTTTTATAGACCAGTTAAAGCCATGCTGGGCTTATGCCGTTGTGTGTACTCGGAGTACACACTGCTGTTTTCCATGGAAAGTTCCTATAGTTTGTAAAAAGGGAGGGATTTTAGTCCTGATAAGCATAACGTCTGGAACAGAAATGGGTAAAGCCACTTGAGGACACAGCAGCAGAGGTTACTTCACTGAAGCGTTCATCGGATTCCAACACCCCGTAGTGGAACCAATTACTGAACTTTCAAAGTAAAGGAGCATTTAATAGGCATATTATAACGCAAAACATGGTTTTTAAAGGACCGACTACAAATTAGTTCTAACCACACAATGAATGAAATGATATCAGGGCCAACATTTTCTGCAGGGAATCGTGGAGAGAGGCTCAGCACACATGTTTGTGATTTAATTTTTCAGAAATATTGTATGATGACAACAACATAAAGCACGTTTCCATCCATGAGTCTCGATCAGCTGTCACTGGTCGCACACTGCAACTGTGTGCAAAACTGACCACATAAGCATGGCTCGTTGAGCCTGACACACTTTTTAATGTCTTACGTTAAAACGTATTCAAATCTAGGACTCTCAGCAGATACATGCTCCTTATGTTAATTCTGCAATCTGAGCTTCCTTTTTTCCAAATATTTTTTTTTTTGCGTATAGCACAACAAGTCGTTTCTGTTTGTTTCTGTCATGTCAGGATGACATCACTCTGAAACATATCTATAGAATACAAAGAGTGTATCCCATTCAGCTAGTAGTTATTGTATCAAAGATCTATACATTTACATCATGTGTGTGATGAGCAGGTTTTCTTCTTCTCATCTCTGTCCGTTACCCAAGAAATCAATAGAGCACTATATTGCACTGTAAATTGTGTTTATTCCATCCTAAAAAACAACAACCTCTCACCTCCCTCTGTCTCTCAGCTGTGAGCCGAGTGACCGTCCGGACCGACAGACATGGGGAAGCAGAACAGCAAGCTCCGCCCTGAGGTGATGCAGGACCTCCTGGAGAGCACCGACTTCACCGAGCATGAGATCCAGGAGTGGTACAAGGGCTTCCTGAGGGACTGCCCCAGCGGGAACCTCTCCATGGAGGAGTTCAAGAAGATCTACGGTAACTTCTTCCCCTACGGAGACGCCTCCAAGTTCGCCGAGCACGTCTTCCGCACGTTCGATGCCAACGGCGACGGCACAATAGACTTTCGGGAGTTCATCATCGCGCTGAGCGTGACGTCGCGTGGCAAGCTGGAGCAGAAGTTGAAATGGGCTTTCAGCATGTACGACCTGGACGGGAACGGGTACATCAGCAAAGCTGAGATGCTGGAGATTGTGCAGGTGAGTGTGCATGGAAGGACACAGACACCGCATACACTCACACAAACTGTAACATTAGCCAAAGCAGTGATTGTTAAACATTTATATTAGCCGTGCGGCCACTGTATCCATAACACACTCTTTATGAGACCAGGAGAACCAGTGCTGGCACTTTAAGAACAGGAGGAATCTCTCACAGATACGGAGCTGGATGTGCCTCCGCACATGATTTATGAGACCTTCATTTATTGCCAGCATTGAAATGTCAGTGTACTTAAAAGCATTTAGATATTAAGATTAATTGAATGAAAGCAGTTTTGGAAACAGTCATAAGCTTGACTCCCTCTTAAATGTGGCTTTTAACTGGAAAGAAAAATAATGGATTTTCCATCTGCTCTTCACCTTTTTACTTCCACAAATGGAAATAAATCCTAGCCTAATGATTGTCTTTTAAAACACCTGCTGTATATGTTCCTCGGTTCTCTTTAGTTTTTCTCCAAAGGTAAACTTGTACTCTGTATTAACCTGTTTTGTAAAGCCTACTTGCTTTCTTTTATAGTTGCCAAAAGCAGCCTCAAGCTGGAAACACGTGGAAGGATGTTTTATATTAATTCCCTGTCGGAGTTAAAGGCCCTGCATGCTAACCTGTTGTTATTCATTAAGGTAATGAAGGTGAATGTCAACCGACAGCCCAGCGGGCTCTGTGGGCTTTCAAACATTCTAACCAACATGGAGTTTGCAGGAGGAAAAAAAAGCAATTTGAGAAAGCCTGCTCATTTTGAAATGAGATTTCTAGTATATTTTTAGATTTAAACAGATCTGTGGAACGTATAGCAGTTGTACTTTATGTTTACAGTATAAGATAAGATAATCCTTTATTAGTCCCACAGCAGGGGAATTTTCTTTTTTCTATAAGAATTGGGGGATAAATTCTGGGTCGTGCAGCAGGGCCCAGTGCACCAGGGAAAAGGGGGAGCACTGGCGGTATTTCCTGCACAACAGCTTCTCATGTAAACAGGCTATTACAGCTGCACAGGTCCACATGTGGGTAACAGCAGCTAGTTTAACGTCGTTTCACTTCCTATTGAGGAGATTATTTAATGTTGCTTTTAGAGGCAATATTTCTTTTGCCACCCCAGAAGCAGTAACAGCTCGGTGAGGCAACATTACAAGGTGTACCAGCAGTTCCCCCAAGAATTGTTCTGGGCTCCAACAACCACCAGCCCATGAAAACTGTGCATGTTAGCCGTAGTATAATATCTTGCACTGCAGACTTTTAGACAGAAGAGAGGAGGTACGGCATATACTGCTTTTAAGCAGTATATTTAAATTCATTTGAAAGCAGAAGAACTAATAATTTGTTGTACACGGAGTGTGATTAAGTAACTCAACAAATGACTTGAGGCTCTCTGAAGGGAGCCTGGCGAGTGTCCCTGGGCAACATACGAGTATATCACAGGAACCTTTATTTATCGTCACAAACATCTGCAGCTTATGGGACAAGGTTGCCTAGATGCATACTTGAGGCTCTGTTTTTATTGTTTTGTGTTGTAATCACACAATATACTGTGTTATTGAAATGTAACAAAATGAATGTTGTCCTCAGTGTAACTGAATCAAACGCAGCAAACGGCTGATGTATACTGGCTCTGCTCATCTTCCGAATGTTTGAAAATACGCATTTATGTATTTCATTTCGGTTCAGCACAGGATGGGTATGTGTCCCCTTGGGTCCGCTTTTCTGTTGCCTAGCAATGCAATTCCATTGCCATGGTCTATACAGTTTGGTTTAACAAGCCAACTTTTTATGGTAGCCACGGCCAATCCCAGCAAATATGAATCCACAATGCCTCACATGTGCCCACGTATCATAGTAGCGAGGTTAAATTGGCCTCCCCACCTCAAGACCGCAGTGATTCAGACTTCAGCCTTTCACCAGATCACACAAACCCTCGGCCCACTTTGCATTAAAAGGTGCTGCTGTTCCCACGGACGGGCAGATGAAAAAAAAGCAATGACTCAAAGGCTCATGTCTGGCTGTGTGCGTTTGTATTTCTTTGTGTGCAGTAATTAGCTGCAGTTTAGTGAGGGCTCAGAAATGTTGTCCACTTCCATCATGCGTACAACAAGCAGTATTGTTGATTTGAGTTTGTGGCATTCATCATGGCTGAAGTGCAGTTTAGACAGCCCAGGGCCGTCTCTCTGTCTGAGACACACAGAAGCACATCTACTGCATTAGGCTGGCTCACTCTCCTGCTTCAAAGCCACCCACCTCTGCAGAGAGGAAGCAGGCTTAAGAGAAAAGTTTTCAGGTAGCGCTGACTTTTGCAAAGTGACTGCTGGAGTTAAAATGATGCCTGAGCTCAGAGTCTTTGAGTAAAGTCTGCAGCTTAGTGTGATCACAGTATCTGCTTTCAGCGACGTCAGAGGGCACATTGGCAGGTGGATCTCATGAAGCTCAATCCATCCATTTTCTGGTGCGTATCTGGGTACCAGAAGCCCAGACGAACCAACGTCATCCTCCGAAAGCCAACCTCATATTTACAAGCTTTAGTGTGGTTAATGATGTAGCACACGTTCAGTTTCGACTGACGGAAGTGAGAACCAAGTGGTCAGTGGACTTTCCTGTTCCACATTGTTGACCTTTATGCTAATTTGAACACAGTATGAGCATGGAAATTCCAGTCAATGTCTCCACCACTTTGGCTCAGACTGTAGTCTCTCAACAGCTGTGAAATGTGTACAGACATGCATGCTCCCCAGCAGATGAACCCTGATGAACCCTATTAGTGGTTTTGAGTCAAATGTGTTGATGTTATGATTCCTATGATCAACATACTGTAATTACCAAATGAATCTCATAATATTCAGGTCAATGCTTTGGTGTTTGACAAAACACCTGCAAAATGAATGACATTGCCATCCGCCTCAGCTGCACTTTGTGTTCAGTGATAATTAGCCATGTTAGCATGCTAACACAATAAACTAACATGGTAAACTTTATATGCTAAATATCACCTCGTTAGTATTGTCGTTGTGAGCAAGTTAGATTTTTTAACGCTAGCATTTATCTCAAAGCATCACTGCACCTCGACCTTTTGTGAGGTCGCCATCTTGTTTTGTAGTACACACACTTGGAACACATCTGCAGGTGCAAGTGTGCATCCCCGTCCTCTTCTGTGATTGGCAGATCTTTAGAAATGTCATATAGCTCTTTTATCCATGATTTAACTGCATGTTACCCAACTTGTTCTATCTGTAAGATATAGTGTGCCCCACAACAGTATTATTGTCAATTGCAAATGCCTTACTGAAGACCCCCCCCCCCCCACAGTGGTCTCCATGTTTTCTACTCACAAACCAATAGTTGATAGCTAACCTCTGTCTACCTTTTTATGTGAAACGCGGCGCCATCAGCCGAGCAGATGGGCTCACGGGGAAGTTTATTGTCTCCATTGACAGAAAGGAGGAGGGCGAGAGCATTCATCCAGCAGAGGAGCAGGTTAGATGAATTGATCACTGCTCAGTAGGATAAAGTCGCCATGGGAAACGTATTCATCTTTTGTGTTAGCATGAGGGGAGACACTGTGTGCATGTTGTGTATGGCTGCTGTTTACTGCAGGGCCACTTTCTATACTTCTATATTTTCTTTTTTTAACTTTTACAGTTCTGTCTTTTATTTTTATTTTCTCTTGCTGTTTATTGTTATGCAACAAAACATCAAGACAAATTCCTTGAAACCTGACTGATTGTGACAAGTGGACCTCCCTCACTCCCTTCCAGTCTCTCTTTAAAGGCCAGTGTGTAGCATTTCAATCAGCAGAAATGGAAAATAACATTAATAACTTGTTTTTTTTTGGTGTAAACTCACCTGAGACTAAGATCTAAGATGTTTTTGTTAGATTAGAATCAGCCCTTCATATCTACATTGGTAGTGGGTCCTCTTCAGGGAGAACAGCCATGTTTCTACAGGAGCCTAGAACGGACAAACCAAACACTGGCTCTCGGGAGAGCCTTTTGCGTTTTTACGTTGCCTGAAGGCCACCGTAGTTCTCCGTCACACAGTGGTACTGCTAGACCCCGTCTGACTCGCTGACTTCCTTATACTGTCTGTGGCACCCAGGCCCATTGGTTCCTACTGAAGACATGAATTTTTAATAAAAGAGTCAAAATATATAGTTGAAGCCTCATTAATTTTAGCGAAGGTTGCTCGAACAGGAGGAAGTAGTGCATTTGTTGGGGATGTGGTTTTCATCAAAATGATTCTCTGATAGAAGATTTTTTTATTTTTTTATTTGTATTTCTTTAGGGAAGAAATACATAATTCAACTCTTTTTTTCTAGTTATTTATGTGTCAACTCCTGCATTCGATGTCACAATGTTAAATGAATATGTATTAATAGACTAATGAATAGAATACTTAATTATCTGATATCTTCTGTAAAACAAATGTATTGTTAGCATTAACTGCTCTGGAGAGATACAGCCATGGCTGTTATCATATATATATATATATATATATATATATATATATATATATATATATATAT